AAATTACCATATGGTCATAGCTAGAGGTAAATTTCAAAAGTAGCACATGTAAATAGTTTCTTGCTGTCTGAGCAAATAATTTTACATTTAAATGAAGTCATTTGGTAACTGGTCCAATTGATTTCTGCTTGTAGTCAGTTACTGCAATTCATTTCAGTTGCCCCAGGATGAAACTCTGTATCTGTCACGCATAGAATCTTCAGTGGATACAGATTATGTTTGAATGGTTAAAAACAAACCAGGTTTGCAATCTTAAATCCAGAGTGCTGCCTGTGCTCAAAGAGCTTTGTAAAGACAGAGAGTAAACCATGTGGGCCTGAGCCCCTCCAAGGAGTTCAGTGCAGGCATAATTCGGTTTAGTCAAGTAGGATTTGCATTTTGGAGTTACTGGGAGCACTGCAACAGTGAAAGATGTACTGAGATTTGCTGGAAAAATCCTAATTACAATCCTTTTTTCCTTGTTACCAAAGTGCTTCTAAGTCTATTCAGGCAACAGAAAGTTTCTCTTTGATGAATTCTTCCTAAAGCCCAGTGAAAGTTCCTATGTTTTTGCTTTCACTTTCAGCTGTGGCCAGAAGCCAGAACAAGCAGGAGAGGAAAGCTTACTACTTTGGTCCTGTGATCCTTAGGAGACAAAGAAATCCAATATCCTCAGGATGACCCATCCTTTTCAAAGGGGATATAGTATTTCAAGTTCAGCTCACAACCCTCTAGTAAGCCTTCTCACCATGGCAGTCACAGACTGTGCTAAATATCAGCCTTGAAAATTCCACCCCCTCAGTATTTACCAAGGGATATCAACAAGAAGAGATCACATGATAAGCACTGCTTGGTGGATCCTCATGGATGCTCATTTCCCACCCCTGACACAGATGGCAAGTAACAGAGAATCCTCTGTGACCCATATTCACATCCATTTGTCACCTGTTTCATATGCTTGTGCAAAATGAGAGATTTCAAGCTCAGAAAAAGCTTGCCATAGTTGTTACTGGATTAAAGGGAATCTCTTTTTCAGCTCATACAACAAATGCATTCTGCCTTTGAAGACACCCGAGTTAAGCCTTAGTCTATGGGCAGGATTGTTCAGAGTCTTGGAGCGCCTGCAGTAGAGGGAACATCCATGATTTGACACTCTACCAGCAAATGGTAGAGTGACTTGGGTTATGTAATATCAGTTCAAAGGTCAGGGACAATACAAAGGTGGGACAAGCCCCAGTAATGAGAATAATTGGATTCTTCATCTACTGAGAGGAGGCAGACTATGGCATAGGCAGATGAGATTCCCCACTCCAGCAGGTTCACCCATCAGCTGAAGAGATAAGTATTTTCCATTTCTGTGTGCATGATTTGGGTGTTCAGAATTCCATGAAACAGGGAGTGGAGGAGCAAAAGCATTTTTCTTTCCTTACTGTGAATGGATCTGCACTTCTCCTCTGAGGGAAGCATTGAAGAAGTTTCCCAAAGCCAAAGAAAGTCCTCAGCCTTGCCCTTGCCTGACAGATCTTTTTTATTGCAGCCAAGCAAGGGAAAAGTACAGGCAATAGGGTTGAGTCATAAGAGTTATCATTTGCAACAGTCATCTATTTATTGCTGATTAACTATAAGACAGTATTATAAGAATTTTTATGCACTTCATGGAAATCAGTTAATGACTCAGAACCACTGAAATTAAAAAGGGAAAACCCAAGATAGGCCATCCTCTGGATAAGCAGATGAGGAATTCTTATATGACCCAACATTTTTTTCACTTACATTGCATAGCGCTGGATGACATTTTCACTCTTCCTGGAGCATCGTTTCCAAGTACAAGCAGAATGTGTGTGAGGCTGTTTAAAGAAAGTCCTGCTAGGAAGAAGTTGTTTTAAAAGGACAGCTTTCCCAAGAAATGGACATTAGTCACTCAGGCACCGTATGCTGCCCACGAACCTGTGCAAGGACACGTGTGTATTGTCATGTGGCTGTACTGCTGGATGCTGAGCTGCTGAGGTCAAGTGCAGGGTAAGAAACTCTGATCAATATTTAGTGGTTGGGATTCATATTGCTCCTGTAGGGACACATTGGATTTGGAAGATAAATCTGATTTTGGTGAGATAAAGGAGGCATTTTGGACTGTACTGAAACAGTTAATTTGACCCTCTAATCAATCTTCAGAGTTGGCTGTAGGTTCCCCAGTGCAATTGTCTCTTGAAAGTTCGTATGTCAAAATAAAAACAGAGGTTAAAGCCCCTGAGTCTGTTTCCCATTCAGATTCAGTTCATTTTGTTTTCTGTGAATCTCTGAGCCAGAATGCAGCAGCACTTCTCTCCTAAAAGTAACTGATTTATACAAAAGATCTTCTGGCATCCTTACATTCAATTGAATTGCATTCACTGCAAAAGATCTGATAAAATCAGACTGTTGGATAAAATCAGGAAATCTCTACATTTATTCTCTGATTACCAGGCAAGCTCAGTTTCATCATGGTGAAGTAGAAGCCAATGGTTGCAATTACCTTTCTTTCTTTTCATACATTTTTTAATATTTGGGTTTAGGATGGAAAAATTATAAATTAATAAATCTGCACCAAGTCCAGTCAAGACTCTCTGTAATATTATTATTCATATCTCTATTATTAGCAACAGCTGGAATAAATTTTAGCACAAATATTAAAATCTATATTGCAGAATAAGCCACATGGAGTCACTGTAATTTGAGGAGGGTGAAAGTTTTTATAAAAGCTACTGTGGAAGGAATATGACATTATCTTTTTTCAGGTGACTTAATTTTTGTAATCAGATACAGTTTTATTTTGCAATAAATTAACTGCCAATAAGCTTAACTTTCTAGTGTTTATGCTGAACAAACACTCCAGATAAAACAACGCATCAAGCATTCATTCTGGGCTCTGCTTCTGCTTGCTGGTTCTCTTCCACTGAGGTGTCGGGAACAGCTCTGGCTGTGTTAAAGCAAAGGTAAGTTCCTCAAGCACAGTCACAACCACCTAAGCCAGCTGTGCTGGCTGGGGAGCTATCCCAGCAGTTAGCTTTTGACTTGTTCTGTCCCTGCTGTTTTCCCAAGGCATTTGAGAAATTATCAGCCAACCAATAAATCAGTTAAAAATCAAAGCAGTAAAACCCTGTACAGTTTGTCAGAGGTAACAATTTGAAAGCCTGATTGAGGGGGGCAACATCAGGAGGAAGCAGGATCGAGAAGGAGGCAGCTGGGAATGATTGGAATAGCTTTTCTTTGTTCCCTTCTCCTTCTCCATTGTTTCCACAGACTGTGCATCTAAGTGACCCTCAAATTGGTAGTAAGATAAAAGAATCACTCCCTAGTGATCCCTGCTGTTCAGCACTCATCTGCACTCTTGTAAGTCTGCTGCAGACAGGCAAAATATATTGTAACACTCAAGGAATTTTTAATAAAAAATATTAAGCCCATTCTGAATGGAAGTGATTATTTAGAATTGGAAGCACCAGAAGGACTAGTAGAAGTGCTGTGAGAATGAAAGGTGCAGATGACACCTGAGGCATCAAGATGCCAGTACGTCTATGTATAGCTTATCAGGACCTCCCCAAACTGCAAACAGAGTGAAACAGAGGACAGACTATAGACCAAAGCCCTAAAGAAGTGATGAGAGGCAGAAAAGAGCAGGCTTAGAGCCATCAAACACCCAGACAAGGAGAGAAAAAGAAATCATAACCCATGGATGAAACAGGATGAAGAATATAGGAGGGTGTGAGAGCATGTCCAAATCCTGTTTTGTTTTGGCTAAAATCACCTTTCCCTTTTCCATTAGCTCACACTGAGATTTGTTACATAGTTACTGCACCGTTCTGGGGCTAGAAATACAGCAATGAAAATAATTATGGGCCATATGCTCTAACAATACTTACACACCTTTTATCCAAGTGAATGCAAGCTCCTGGCTCTCCTGAAATGCTCTAGTGAGACATATGTGTGACTTTTTCCAGTCTTCCCTAAGACACACTTATGAGCTCGGGGTTTCCAGCTCCTCCTGCTAATGGGGACTGAAGAACTCCCTCCTTTCAGTCTCTCCAAGGAAATGAGTGTCACTTGCTTTCTTATGGCCACTCACACTCCCTGCAATGTTTCAGGTAATTTCTTCTGCCTGATTCCACTCCAGTTTTCTTCTTAGTCAGTAGAACTTCTAACCTTTGCATTTCTATTGTGCAACATTTTAAAAAACAAGGTGATGAGCTTTGCCTAGTTTAGAGTTTACAAAATTTGCCGTGGGTTCAGCCCAAAGCCATCTGCAGCTCAGCTGAAACACTCCTAGGATCCCTCAATAAGAGTCTGGAAGCTTTCCAGACAGCATTTGGAGCCTGGAAGGAAAACAAGTCACATTTTGGGAGCAAATCTAGCAAACTCAGTGTTACTGAACCTGCCTGGCAACACCTCTCTGCAGGATTTTCTGTCATCTCTAGAAGACCACTCCTACCATATTATATCTGCCCCTTCCTTCCATCCTTGGGTCACCACATCAAGTTCAGGGGTCCATCTCAGGCTCGCCTGACATCCCCAGGTCCTTTTTTCGTTTTTCCTGTGTGCTGTCCAGAAGCTTCCAGAGATGGTCCATGGCCCAGCATATCCATCTCAGGCTTGACAGACCTCCCCAGGTCCTTTCTTTAATTTTTCCTGTGTGCTGTCCAGAAGCTTCCAGAGATGGTCCATGGCCCAGCATATCTTAACTACTGCCAAGTTCATGCCACAGCTCTGTTCCTCAGGCACAAGGCAACCTTTTCTTTTGTAGATTAGAGGTCATGTACACCGAGACAGAGCTTCTCTGGAAGCTGCTTCAGGAATAATGAGTGATTTCTGTGCAAGACCTAAGGATTTTTGTGACTCTTGTCAATGTCACCTTCTCAGGGCAGAAAGGCCAACACTCTCCAGCATAAACAAAAATCATAATAGCAAACAAACAATTCTGCCAAACCACACTACTCCTCTGTACTCTTCGTCCTTCCTTGCTTGGGAAAAGACAGAAAGAAATTAATTACCTGAGAGCCAATTTCATTTGTATCACTGCTGCTTAACCAGACCTATTGGTAAAAAGGGTAAAAACACAAGAAAATTAATACTTTTATAAGGGAAAGGATGGGAGAGCAGCTTAAAGGAAAACTCAGGCACAGCCCAACTTCAAAGTGCTGCAGAGATCAACACTTTGTAATTTGGGCCTATTTCTTGTTATCTCTCTACTTACATAGATTGACAATTGTGAAGAAGAGAAAAATCATAAAGGTGAGGGTTAGTCTTTTTTTGGCATGAGCCTGGTGTCTGCCATGGGAAATTAATCCATGCTAAGCTGCAGTAAGCTGAGCTGCTGAGTTTGAATTTGTGTCACTGAGACTACTTATGCTCATGGCTGATCTATAAACTCTTATTAGTAAGACATGACAGTGGGTGACATCTTGATGAAAGGAATAGCCTATGGATCACCATCCATTCACTAAGAGTTTATAAGAATAATTTTAAATTAGCCATTTTCCCAAAGACCACATATCAAAATATTTTGGGGAAATAAATAAAGCTATACTGGGGGATTTTTATTTTTTTTTTGAGTAAGGGTTTAGAAGGTCCCAGAGTTCTTTGTCACTGAAGTAACCACATGTGTCAGCCAAATTGGCAGAACTATTATATTTAGATTCTAGAAAGGGTTCCTTAGATGTTGAGGTCTTGGATACCTCCCAAAAGATTTGCTCTCTGGACAGTTGAAGCAAAATAAAATTAGAGGGGAAAAGTAGTTCACAGCCACAGCTAGTGTTTTCACTTTTTCTGAATATCACATGGTACGAGATGTTGATGAGAAAAGACGGACTTATGAGGGGTAACTTGACAGGAATCACATTTTCATTTCCTTCATAAAATTTTGCAAGATTTTCTCTCTCTCTCCAGTGGCCACCTTGATGTTGTTGTCTTTTGGAGGCCAATATGATCCGCCCTATGAGAAAAAGATATCCCAAGGCATTTCCTTTTTTCTTTTTCAAGATGCAGACAGAGGATTCCATTAAATTTTTTAATTTGTTTAACTGGCTTCTAATTTTCCAGACTCCTGTCATGCCATAAAACTGCCTGATGAATGACAGGACCCTGCTAGGTTTAGCTGGGGTGTAATGTGAGCTCCCAGGGATGGAAACAATAAAACAGAGTTTTCTGAGAACCCGTGGTTTTGTAAGAGGCTGCTAGCTCTGACTTCACCACACCCTTTCATTTTGTTAGCTCCAGTTCAGCGAGTTGCTGCTGGATTTTGTTACATTTTCTATCATTATGAGCCCTCTGGTTCACAAAAGTAGGAGAGAATCCTCCAGATACCTCAAGGCAATTTAGGAAGATGCCTGATAAGTGCCATGCCAGGGACTTGCTCTGCACGTATGGGAGCCAGAGTATGGGTTTGGAATGGCATGGCTAAGGCTCACACAGCTCCTGAGAGAGGTGCTCCTGAGAGAGGTACTCCTGAGAGAGCATTTCAGAGGAATCAAAAGGCAGCCTCTTACTTCCACACTAACCTTCTTTGGGGCTGCCCTACTCTGAAAATCCCTTTTTTTCTTTTTTTTGCAGTTATCTCTAAATTTTCAGAGGACCATGGATTGAAAAGAAGAAAGAAATAAACAGTAGATTTCATCTTTCAGCGGTCATTGCCACATGCTGGTTTTGGAAACCAAGTGACAAGATGATCACGACACAATTCAGTTCACTGTTGCTAACACAGTCAAGTTGTCCTGGAAGAGAAGCTTCCTCAGAACTCAAAACTGATTCCTTGGCTTTCTACAGAAACCCAGTCAGATCTGACTCATTCCTGCAGAATATCCTCCTCAACATCCAGGCGAAGGCAGCAATAACTATTTTTGCCCTGTCAGGCTGCCTGCAAGTAATCTAATCGGATCTGGAACATTATTATTTATAATGAATTGGTCCATCTAGCTGAAAGTGTCACTAAGCAACTGCAACAGCAAGCCTTCAACTTCGGGCACCACCCTGGCAGCTGTGCCAGCCTGGACTCCCAGCTGTGCCAGCAGCAGCACAGACACCAACTCCTCAACAGGGCTGTGGTTACAGATCCCAGGAGTGCCAGATGTTTCCCTGCCCTGGCTAAGCACAACCACAGGGCATGGCAGAGGCTGGAACAAGGCATTCCCCAGTCTTTCTGTAGTTTTCATACAGACTTTTCCAGTCTGTGTCCCAGGATTTTGAGGTGGGAGTGAGACAGGACTTGCTTGGGAGGGAAAATCCTCAGCCATTCCCACTAAAATCCTGTGCCCTCCTGCTGCTGACCTCAGGACAAGATTAACTGCAAATCAACCCCTGAGCAAAATCCCTACAGGAATAGAATTGGACTGTTTCTTCTCTCCAGCATCTTGCAGCAGCCTGTGCTTGTGTCAGAGTCTGCAAAGCTGGACTGCATATGCCCTTACAGTGACAGCATAGGGGATTTTGCTTTGGTTTTTAATAAGAGATTGATAGGGTAAAGGCAACAGTGGGGGACAGGTCAAACACAGCTAATGAAAAAAAAAGTAGACCCAGTCTTCATCCTGTTTTATTGCTTGCTAATAGGGTAGTGTTTGGCAATAGCTTGTGTGTTGTAAGGCTTAAGGTTATCAGCAGACTGACTGCAGAGAGCTAGTTAGAATTCATCCTGCATCTGGGACTGTAATCTGGCAATTTAAATGAAAACATGTACTCTGCATAGGTGCATGACATAGACTATTACTATCATTAATATAGCAATAGTCATAATAAATCACATATTGAGTGTTTGTTATTGCAAGGAAAACTTAATTATAATTTCCAAGCTGGCAGCATTTGATTTACTTTTTGCTATCTGTGTAATTAGTTTCCAAGTTACAACTGCAAAATCTGTCTTGCTGGGGGTAGGAGGTGTGGAGTTACAGCTGCAGCCATCGCTCTGGCAAAGACAGCTTTTCCTTGAGAATATTAATTTTTAACACAATAGTAAAACCCAAGTAAAATTCCTCTAGAAAGGAGTGGGGGGCGGGGGGGACTGCTTGGAAGGCGCCTCTCAGGGAGCCTCCCCTCGCACTGCTGAGCGGTTTTTGGTACAAGGAGCTCTCTAGTGTCCAGCTGTAATAGTGCAGCTCGGGAAGAGGATGCTGTGAGCACACAGCCTGATCCAACATATGTGCCAGAGGAAGGCCTGGGTCCCTTTTAGGTCCCCGGTGCTAATGTGCAAGGCAAAAAGTTCTACTTAACATCACTGTTGTCCAAACCAATACAGCACCCAAAAGTTTTAAGGCACAGCACAGAGGTCTCCACCTGTTACTTAAAGGAGCTTCTGCTGCACTGCTGAAGTGGGTCCTGCTCAGTCTGTGGGGAGAGGATGTGTGTTGATGTCTGTCTGCACACAGGCCATGGAAAAAAGGTTTAAACTTCTACTTTGCTCCTCTCCAGGGACAGCAAAGTGCCTGCCATTTGTGGGTCTGAGACTGTGTGCCCATACTGGTTAGAGGCAGCCTATTTGCTAGGAGTGAATGGCTAATTGCAACCCTTGACTTTTCGTTTATGCACCTGATTATGTGAAATTGTCTCATGCCAGACAAAATATGCTCATGATCACTAACCAGAGAAGACTGTGTGCTCATACTGGTTAGAGGCAGCATTCACTCCTATTTGGTATGCAACCCTTGACTTTTCGTTTATGCACCTGATTATGTGAAATTGTCTCATGCCAGACAAAATATGCTCATGATCACTAACCAGAGAAAGAAAATACCAAAATGAGTGGACAGTAGTGTCCAAAAGCAGATCACTTCCCTTTGTTTCTAAAATGAAGACCTGAACCTTTTAATTTGCAGTTGTGCAGGTTTGAGTCCACGCTAGAAAAACAATATATTTTCTTCACATGGATTTTAATGCTTGCATTTTGTTTTTTCAATGTATTCATGATGAACTCACTCATGTTGATAAAAATGGATTAAAAATCTCTTTGGTTATCACTGGGTATCACAGATGGGGAATAATGACTTGACAAATTGGCAAACTGAGATTATCTGCAAATATTATGAGAGGCGCTTGAAGCCCTTATAAAATACATCATCACTTTTAACAGCATTTTGCTATTATGACACCTCCCTTGTGGATTCTGTGGTTTAACATTGCAAAAAAAAATTATGCCAGAGTCAAAGCCTTGCCACTGAAAAGCACCATCTTGTCCTATGCTCTGCATAAACCCCACAGCAAGGTTTATTCCAGAGTAGAAAATAAATTAGGATGTAATAATTAACTAAATGCATTTCAAAGGCAAGAAATCCCACACAGGGCTAAGATGCTCACCTTAAATCACTGCAAACAAATGATGGTGGCTTTTTCTGCAAGTTGCTGTGAGCCAGAGGTCCCAACCTTTTGCCTTCAGAAGGGTTTGCAGCAGGTTTTCTTTTCCTGCTATCACCCTTCCTTGTCTGAGCTCAGCTTGCAGAGAATCCATAGCTGTAGAAGCTGGAAAATAATTTCAATTATATAAGCCACAAACAACAAAGAATCCTGCCAGATTCAGGCCAGTTGCAACAACAATAGTTTTTTCTCCACTTAGCGTTTTAGCTCAGTATTAAGGTGATCATTCTTGATAAATGCAAAACCTATCACTACATTATTATGTCCAAACACCCTGTGGAATATCTGGGATATGACAACCCATTTTCTCTGAATTTTTGCAAACCTGCAGGCATGGTGGCAATGGTTTTACCATTTTCAAGGCACCCTTTCTTTGTTTCTTTTTTAAAGGAAACAAAACAAGACAAAAAAAACCCCTGCTGGTATGTTCAGACCAGATAATTAAAGGAGGGGTCTGCCTCCTCTAAAAACTTTTTGTAAAGACATCCTCTGATGGTTAATCTCAAAAATGTAGGTTCCTTTTTCGTCAAGAATTTGGTTAAAAGTGACTTTCAAGACCTTCTTATTGGAACTCCTGCATAATGCAGGGTGTGGGGTTTCTGCAAAGCCCATGACTAATTTCAGTTTTATTTGCAGTGTTGCAGCACACAGAGCACTCACTCCCTGCTGATTGAATTCAGTCCCCCTCAACTGAATTCAATTGCTATTGAATTCAAGAGAACTGGACCAGAGCCTTGGGAAAAAAAGCGGTTCCTCGAGTCCCAACACCATTTATCAGGTAGGACTTGGTGTTTTACACTCTGTCACGTTTGAAAATGATAAACTAGAAGATGTGTCAGACATGTTTTAACAAGAAGAATAAAATACATAATTCAGGATGGCACAGAAAACACCTGGTTTTATGCTTAGTTTCCATTTTCAAAAACCAGAAGAGGCTCAGAGAAGCATCTGCTGAGCTTCTGAATGGGTTTGGATCAGCTGCAAGTGCCCGTCTGCCAAAGGCACGTCCAACTCAGACATGAAACCAGGCAAATCTCAGTGATGCTGGGTCAGTTTCACATTTACATCTCAAACCCATAGCAAATCTGGATTGGTGGCAAATGGATCTGACCAAACAACAACAACAACAACAACAAAAAATAAAGGCAGAAGCTTTGCATGTCCTTCACAAAATGAGATTCCTAAATATCAGACAGTTACAGAAAGCACTTAGCCATTTGGGAGTTTGTGTCTGTCTTTCTCTGTATTTATGGACACAGAATTATGGAAATCTCCATCTGATAAAGATTTTCAAGTGGAGAATATTGTTGTTCCATGAAGACTTCCAGTCCTGTAAGATAAATATGTTGCTAATGTAGAATTTCAGACTCTGGGGTACCCACAGCAGCTACCTGAGCTCACTTAGCTACAGCCTGAGGGCACAGCAATTTCACTGGAAACTCCAAGAGCAAATCAGTTTTTGGACTGCCACTTACTGTATAGAAGAAATGTCTTAATTTGCTTGGTATAGAGGCCCTCCTGAAAACAAAAGAAAATTTTGTTTGGATCTGACCAAACAACAACAACAACAAGAAAAAAATAAAGGCAGAAGCTTTGCATGTCCTTCACAAAATGAGATTCCTAAATATCAGACAGTTACAGAAAGCACTTAGCCATTTGGGAGTTTGTGTCTGTCTTTCTCTGTATTTATGGACACAGAATTATGGAAATCTCCATCTGATAAAGATTTTCAAGTGGAGAATATTGTTGTTCCATGAAGACTTCCAGTCCTGTAAGATAAATATGTTGCTAATGTAAAACTTCAGACTCTGGGGTACCCACAGCAGCTACCTGAGCTCACTTAGCTACAGCCTGAGGGCACAGCAATTTCACTGGAAACTCCAAGAGCAAATCAGTTTTTGGACTGCCACTTACTGTATAGAAGAAATGTCTTAATTTGCTTGGTATAGAGGCCCTCCTGAAAACAAAAGAAAATTTACTTACAGTAAAGAAATAATAAAGTGTTTGCCTTGCTCTCAAGCTCAGCTGTGAGATTTTACTCTCCTCAGCAGGGAGCAGTGACAAACCGATGAAGGAACAGCTGTGGTAAGTCTGGAATCACTTCTGATCTGCCACAACCAGCACAGATCAGCCAGACCCGGCAAAAGCCAAATTATTTGTCATTGCCCAGGGAATAATAAGACATCCACCTGTAGCACCCATAGATACCAGCAGAGCCTAGGCAGGGTCCCAAGCCCCAAATCTGAAGGGAACCACTGCAAGTAAAACCATCATGAGGAGCAGGAGTCTTGTGGGCTTGGGTTGCCATTGCTGAATGCACCTCCTGCTGGCCCTGAGCTCAGCATGGCTGGTTAGTGAAGGCACTGAATGGTGCAGCCCCAGCTGCAGAACTGGCTTGGTCTCTGCTGCTGTGACAGAGCTGTCTTGCACGGCTTGCGAGGCGTTTCTGCCCAACACTTCCCACAGCTTCTCTTCCCAGGGTGACAAATCCCTGCAGATCCCTAACAACTGCCATTGCCCTGAGTGACAGAGATGCTTTTGAAACAGGTTCTAAGCTCCTTTTACACTCTCATCCCCATACATAGCTGTGCACATAACACATAAACAACATTAGCAAATCCTGAAACAAGTGCAGATGCTTTGTCATCTTTAATAGTGAGGAAGCCACTTCATAGACCAAGATAAATGGAATTAGCCTGCTCAGACCAGAACTTTGGAGAAGTTTACAGGTTTAAAACCTTAATTTCTGCTTAAAAACTAAATGACCATAATAATTTATTTTAAATATATATAAATAATCCAACTAACTAGTCAACAAGTTCTCTAAAGAATTGTGAAAGCTTTCTTTTGCCAACAGGCTAGACACAACAGCACAGCCTTTAAAGCTTCTGCCTACCACCTAGCAAGCTTGCTTAGATTTTCCTGCACTCTCACTGGGAGCTGGTACGGTTAGTGTGACCATCACATCTGAATCCTTGGCAGATCTCCTCCAGCCAGCAGCACTGTGGCAGCACGGGAAGTATCCAGGGTGGGAGACCCCAAAATGCAAAGCATCTGGCCTTGTTGCCAGTGTGTCATTCAGCTGCTTCTGCTGAAAATTAGTCCCTCTCTATCTATCTCTCTCCCCAGTTCTGATGAATATTGATGAACTTCACAGCATCAAAAGAAGCAAAGGCAGACAGCTGTTTGAAGGGACAAACACTTCAGTTCTGGATTGCAAGGAAAAGAGACAGAGACAGCAGAGTGCTTGTGATGAGCCAGGCCTTCTCCCTTGCTTGTCAAAATGTGATTTACAGACACACTTCCATTCACCCTGTGGCTGCCAGTTCCCACATCCTATGTCCACAAATCTCTCTTGTTAATTGGATAGGCAATATGTGGGCTGCCTCCTCTATAAAAAGCTTCTTTAAACTGGGACGCTTCCCAGCTCATTTTAATAAATCATGTCTATAATTACATTCTTTTGCTGCATATTTCTGCAATAAAATCTGTATCATTCACTTACTGGCCTTCTTTACTGTCCAGCCATCATTTTGTCTTGCTTATGAAGCTGCTTTTCTTGCCTGGTCATTCAAAGATTACCATTTGCTTTGAAGCCCTAATCTAATTCAGCTGCTTTTTTCTTATCTTCAGAACTTCTCCTCATCCTGTCAATCCCAACAATCCCACTTTTTGGGGACAATCCCAACAATCCAGCCACTTTTTGCCATCAGTGACCACTGCAACTCACTCCTGGTAGCTATGCTCACTAAGGCTGCCTCAAGAGCCACTCCACCTGCATGCCAAGTTCATCTGAAGCTGCCTCTTCCCAGTGGCCAGCTGGCAGAAGCTCTTCGTTACATAGCAAACCCCTTTGTGATGGAATTTGCTTCTCTTCTTTTGGGGAAGTGGCTGTTCTCCCTTAAGGACTTTAACACACAATCAGCTCAGCGTTACAGCAAAGCTAAAACATCTGTGCTGGTTGCTGTGAGAAGGAAGTAGAGAGGTTCGGTTTGCTGAAGTTCCTCATAGCTGTAATTCCCCTTTTACACAGCCAGAACACGGGGAGGATGCCCTGAGCCAGAAAATCAGGCTCCTTTTGGCTTTGGGGTGCAGTCTGGAGAAGTAGCCAGGAGCCCCTTCCCTCAGCTTTAAATTTCAATCAAGCATCACAAAGCTTCCCTTGGTTTTCCTTTTCCTAAAGCTCCTGTCAGTTCTAATGTCTGGAGGTGACAGGGCTCATCTTAAGAGCCATGTTTTGGAAAGAGATGCAAAAAGAATTACAAAGAATGAAAAAAAGAGCAGACAAGTTGGATGGGATGTGGGTCAGATGAAGCAGTGTAAACATTCAGTCTTTGCTATGAAACAACCAGAGCCTGAGACATAAATGTGTGAGGGAACATCTTGTCCTATGGTTCTTAAAATAACTTATCAATTCCTTTTTTAAGACAGAATAATTTCTAAAAGTGAAAATTTTATCATTTTCCATCTCAAAAATACAATATAAAAAGTTCTAATGTGTAAAGATATAATGTGGGGTTGGTTTTATACTGACACTTGGTTAATTTCAGATTCAAAACAGATCGAGATATGCCTCTTTTTGCATAACTCCAAGCTCAGCTTCAAATGTCTAAGTGGGAAAATTAACATTAAAATGAATCCTTAAACTGCAATTACTTGGAAGATGCAGAGCATGAAGCATTCAAATGGCTCTCAGTGACCCAGTTAAAATATACAGATCAGTACTGCAATTTGGTAGCAAACATTTGGAGACTTGAGGATGTGGGGGCTCTATCCTGCTCCCAGCTTTACTCTACTCTTGGTGCTCAAATGCTGCCCAAAGAAACAAATACATGTTCAAAACACTTTACACCTTGAATGCATTTCCATTAGGTTCAGATCTTCCTCAGGCTTTATTAGGGAACACTAAAATGCTCAAAAGAGCAGATGAGCTTTAGAGATGTGTCAGAGTATCATGTAATCATTCATAATATGAGGTAGGAACTATTTACACTGGCACTGAAAGTTCAACTGCTGCATTGCATTATTGTGAAGTAAAAATGTATTAGATTACAGAGAAATAAAATCTCAGTATTTGCTATTACATAAGAATGGTTTTGCTGAAGGAGGCACTGGTCAAAGTATCATCTAGATTCTGAGAGAAAATTAATTTCTTTTTTTCCCCCTTTATCAGAAGAGGCATATTCTAAATACACCAAGAAGCAGAGTGAGATAGTAGAGTTGTTAGTGTGAAAACAGAGTCCTTCTCCTGCAAAAGGGTAGTAGAGCTTTGTGACAGTCTGAAGGACCTCATGAAACTTTGTCCTCAAGAACCCCAAGTTGCTTGACTTCCTCCTAAAAAAATATTCTCACACCATTACCAAGGAAGCAGAAGTGACCAAGCCAAAATCTTTTTCCCTCTCTCTTTTGTCTCCTTGTCACTAGCCTTGCTATTTTTAAGGGGAAATGCAAATGAAAGAAGCTTACAGCCACTGCAACACCCCTGGTAACACAAGGTAATACAAGCAAGAAGGGACTCCAGGATCTCCAGCCCCATACTCTCAGAGGGAACCAAAGAAATAACCTCATCAGCTGACAGCAACAGCAAAGGCTTGTTTTCTCTGTGGTTTATCTGCTAGTGGAAAAGGAACAGGATGTATTTGGCAAACACTGCATTCTCAGTGCAGTAACACGCTGTGCCTGCATTTCCCTTCTCTCTAAGGCTGGCTTTGGGTTTCATTTCTTTTTTTTTTCTTCCATACCCACTGGCAGCCTCTGGGCAGGGTCTGAAGAAGCCTAATGCAGCAGTGAGGAGTGTGACCTTTCTCACAGCTCAGCAAGGCTGGGCTGCAAATGAGATAAGCAGCCTGTCGTTCTCCAGGCACCTCCGTGCAGCTCTGCCACTGACATCATTCGGGGACCGATGCCAGCACCTGTGACAGCTCCAGGTCACATTCATCTCACACAGCCTGCGCCCTCCCGCCTCTGCTCAGCTGAGCAGGATCTTGTGGTGCACTTTTTAATTGCCTTTGCAAATGACAGATTGTCTGATACCGAGGAGAGCTGTGAGACAGTAACCTGCCTACTGATGCCCAGATGGGAAAGAATCCATCAGCTTCTCCTTTCGCAGTAGTTTGAAGGCGTTCCCACCTCTCCTCCAGCCATCTACAACAACCCTCACCACAGGGCTTTGCCCTTCTGCTTGTACCAGGGCCAGACAAGTGAATAATCTGGTGTTCGGGGTGGGTGAGGTGATGAGAGGGTTCTTCAGGGGACAGGGGAACATGGTGAGGCACAGGGGCTCACAGGGAACCAGCCAGGGAAGTTCCACAGCCCCACTCCTTTCCAGCTGCTTCTGATCTTCTCAGTAGACATATACCACAGTCCTGTCTACTATTCCAGGGACTGGGAGACAAGTAAAGGAGTGGGAACCACTAGTGAGGGAACTGGAATTATACAAGGGTATTTTTTTCCCAAAATCAATTCTGGGAATCAAATGGTAATTATGATTACAAGGCAAAATTAATACACCTCCTATGAAATGTATATTTAAAAAGCAGCCATTCAATATAAAGCAAGAGGTCATGTCTGAAATCACTCATTTATGTGAAGAATTAACTTTTTAATTTATAAGAAAGCCCTAATGACATTAATTAAATATAAATATTAAGAGTGATAGAGCCAACCTCTCTGAACACAGCACTTGCATTCAGTGAGGGCAGGGTGAAACACAATGCACAGCACCAAGACATACCCAGGTGCTCACGGGCTTAGGTCTATATCTATGCTGCAAGAGTTGCAGGGCACACATACTTCTTTTGTAAGAGACCATGAACAGCTGTAACTTGAATATCTAAACAGTCTGATAGAGAAATCTCATACACTGGGAGAAGATTTAATACAGGGACACTAATAAACAGGGCAACATCGAATAATAAAACAGTTAGTCCATCCATTCCGTTAAAAGCTTCAACATTTCTCAGGGTCTTGCAGAGTCAAGTTTTGGTAATATTCAGGCCTCCAGTCTCTCTGGGCACCTCTGCATCTCTCTCCAGGTGAAAAACTTTTTCCTCAGACACAATAGGAATTCCCTCTGGTTTGAGTTTTGCTTGGTGCTGTTTGTCATTTCTCTCCAGGCACCTCTCAGCAGCTCTGGTGTCTCTGCAACCCCCATTAGGTAGCTCAAGGAAATCACTCACTCCCACCTGAGCCTTCTCTTAAAGCTGCAGGAACCCATCTCCCCCAGCCTTCCTTGAACATTGGAACTCCTGCCTACTGACCATGTTAGTGGCCACTCACTAAAATTGCTCCAGTTTATCAATGCTTTTATCAACACTATTTAGGAGCCAGAATAAGGTGCATTACACCAGGTGTGGTCTCACAAGATCTTAACAGGGAACAATTCCTGCCCTGGCCTGTCAGCTGTGCTGGCATTATTGCATCTCATATCAGGTTTGGTTGGCTCCTCATGTTGAAATGACACATTTTTGACTCATGTTCGGCTTCATGTCCATCAAGACTTCCAAATGCTTTTAGTTTAAACTGATTGCCAGCCACCTAGTCCACAGCTTGTACTGTTGCATGAGGTTATTATTTCACAGCTGCAGGACTTTGGCTTCTTATATTTCATGCTTCTGTCATCCAGTTTCTCCAGTTTGTTCATGTGCCCCTTAATAACAGCAGCCTTGCCCTCCAGCATATAGTACTCCCAATATACAAAATAACTGGAAGAAACATCGTGGAAGAGATGATAGCCAGCTTAATGGTACTGTATAAACTCAGAAAGTACAGGACTGACAGCTCTGTTATAGTCATCCTTCTGCTGGAAAACAGCCTGTGCTACTGTCCTTCACGGGGCAGTTGATGCCCTTAATTTTCAAGATGAAACCAGAGGATGATGCAGTTTACAGAAGAAGCTTAGAGAATTCCTGCGAGAAGCTTTAGCAAGGTCTAGTAGAATTAAGGTGTCTTTTTATCCCTACCTTCTGTCCCAGAAGTCAAAATTATTAGCATAGCCCAAAGCATAAAGCACATCATGCAATCTGGGAAAAAAGATGCACTTTCCTGTGACCTTAACTAAGTCACATAGGTCAGGCAGCAAAAATGAGCTGCTTAAAATAACAACAAAGCAGAGCTTCCCTGCATTTGTCCACAGGGGGGAAAAAAAAAAGGAAAACGCCAAACAAAAACACCAAACACTGTATTTCCTCTTCAGAGCTACTTATTCATTCAAATAAAAAGACAACACCTAAGTAACAACAAGCAAGAATTAAGGAGAAGATAATGCTGCATTCTTAGTCGTGAAAAACCTAAATACCTATTGCTTAGGGCAAGGGAGAAAGTGGCTCCTCTCCACGAGCTGTGCTGACAACTCTATCTACACCTTCCCCTTGCACACCCAGCAGTGGTTTTGACTCAGCCCGTTTGGATTGTCTCTCACATTATGTTGAAACACCATGCAGGAAATCAGTACAAATCAATTATTAAATCCTTTAGAAAGAGTTGAGCGCATGCTTAGAAAAAGGCAAAGAAAATTAGAAGAAACTTACCAGCTCTAAGAGAAACTGCGCAACTCCAGTGCTGAGACCTGGAAGGCAGGAAGAGCAACTGTGAGGGCTCACCCACCTGAGGGCTGACAGCTTTATTGAGCAGGCAGAAATCACCTTGAGGGGCAGAAACTGTGGATCACCCTCCTCTCTCCACCTGCCCAGCCCTCACGCTCTCACAGCTGTTGAGCTGAATAGATCAGGAAAATCTCACCATTTGCAAAGCAAGGTCACAGTTTTTCCTGAGCTCAAAATAGAGTAGTCTCTGTGGATCCAGGTTTTGCTGCTATGAGAGAACTGGCAGCACTGCATCAGCTCCACTGGGTACCTTGCCTCCACAAATGGCAGGGACAACCAACTCTGGTGCTCAGGAATCCGGGGTACCCTGCAAACTGTTTGTCAGAAACCCTTTGCACCCACCCAAGGTAGAAGAAATCTCTGTAAGAAACAAGTTCCTGATATCTGTCTCCCACCAATTTCAGGATTCAGTGGATTCCTGTCTCCCATGGCATCTCTGCTCTGAGGAGAAGCTGCTTTTGACTGCCTGCTCCCGAGCGTGTTCCCTGCTGAGTTTGCAGCCTTCTCCAAGGCGTCTCATGGCAGAAGCACTGTACAAAGGCAGGGTAGGATGCAATGAATATTTTTGCTAATAAAAAAGCAATTTCAATTTCCTTGAAACCCCAGGATGTCTGCAAGCAGTTTTCTCCAAGGAAAGAAACCATGACCATAAGTTTCATCTTCATAAAAATGAACATTTTCCTTTAGAGGGCCTCCACTTGCAGCAGCCCTTGCCAACCTCAAGAAAAGAGATGCTGCCACAGACCACTTCAGTGACCAAGTTTTTGGCAGTCAGATGGGATATCAGTAATCCTCTTCCCTAAATTAGGGCTGGGCTGACTGGCTCCAATACCTTTCCAGTACCCTGTCAGGTAAATGGGGAGGCTTTGGAATCTCTCTGTTTTGTGGGACAGGAGAATGGCTGCTCTCACAAAGCCCTATGAGCTCCTGTCCCAAGATTTAATAAGCAGGACTGGAACGTTTCTGCTGATTTTTGAGAGTCTTTAATATTCAGTTGCAGGGAGTCATTCCTACAGGAGAAAACAGGCCTTCTGTTGGAGTCAGGATCAAGTAGTTTTGCCCCACTATTTACCCTACAACATTTCTTCAGAATAATCATTTAGTACATGGCAATTTCCTTGGGGTTCCTGCCTCCTTGGCTCTTCCTTGTCTGCATATAATCAGAGCATTTACCTTGCTTTCCAAAGAGCCTTTTTTTCACTCCTGAGGGAAAGATAACCTCCTCATTTCTCCATTTTCACTCAGTGGGCCATCAAACCCAGGGAACAGAGTCTGTGTAATGAAAACTCCCTGAAGTGCTGGCAGCTAGACCTGCCTGAAGGATTCTTTTTTTGCCCCAGTTTAGCTGCTGGGCCCACTTTACTCTTTGGATGAAAAGTACACTATGCAAGTGCTGTTGGCTTGTTGTTCCTGGGACAGAAAAATAATGAGCCTGACCACAGAGAAATTACATACACTGGCTTGTCAGGCATTTCCTCTCCTCAACTCCACATCTCCCTTTAAAAAAAAAAACCCAAAAGAAAGGGAATGCTAAAATGGGAAAGCAAGCCCTTGTTCATCTTTTGTGCACAGTGAACCTGAGCTCACTTACCTGCCAAATCCGTAAGGACACCCATGTGTTCCCTCCAGAGTGCAAAGCCACCGACTTTACTTGGTCTCTGCACCACAGCCACCCAGAAGGATCCAGAGCAAGTGGCAGAGGCTCAATAAAATAGATATGCCTCACTCTGAAATAGATATGGCAAGATAAGCTGGTGAGGAAGAAGGAGCCAATTTGTCTCCGACCCCCGTAAAATCCCAGACTGTGTTCTCAGTAATATGATCAGATTTGGGGCTAGATGATCAGATTTGGCAGTTCTAATAGAGTCCATCTGCCAGCACTGTAATTGTAAACACAACCAACATCTGAATATAATAATAATGATAATGATAAAAAGTAATGTTACCACGGCCCACACCCACTGGGACATCTCATTTTTGCTTTGGCTTTAGGATAAAGGATGATGAGGATGTTTGGACCAACATCTTCATTTCAGCCAGTGTTTCTGATAAGTCTGTCACCACATTTGTCTCTGGAAAATATTAAGCATAACATAGGGCTCATTCCTAGATGATATACAAGCAGCTTGTTTTTCTCATTTCACCACAAATCTTATTTATATATACATTGCAAATAGATTCATACCACACACAGAGCACATCCATAGAGTCTGATTTTCCAATGTTGTACTAGGTTTATGATCTTGTAATTCCATAGACTTAGATGACTTTTACCAGAATAATCTGGTTCCTAAAAAGAAAGGATATTTTACGGACTTGCACATATTACTTATGCATCCAACCGGAAATGTTAGCATAGGCAGACACCTAGCACAGATGAAATAGTTAAATCTGCCTCCTACTCCCTTTCACAAGACCCTGATTTCAGTCGCTTGCAACTGTCAAGCATTCAGTGTTCAGGAAGAAATGTTCCCTGTAATATGCTTGCCTAGGGCTAAATATTTTTCAGAGAGTTCCAGCAAAATTAGCCCAGCCGTTTCAAGGATGAATTTAGGGAAAACCACAGTGTTTCACTAATATTAAGAAAGGCTCTGCCTGCCTTATTTAGAAGTTCTGAAGCTTCGAAGCAAGGCTTTCAAACACTGAAAGGAAGCACTAAGTTGTATCCCAGGAGTGGATGTGCTGCTGCCGCCTTGGAAATCTGTCCACAATCCAAAAGAGATGTGCCCAAACCTAGCAGCTCACTCTCAGCTGTTTCTGTGCACGTGTGGAGAGGAGATCTCTGTGCTCACACAAGGCATCATCACACAGCAAACCCCCAGGGGGTGTTTATAGCACCATTTAAAAGGAGTGATCAGTGCTGAAAGCGTTCTGGGACACAAGCACATTGTGTTTGCTCTGCAGGCTGCAGTGAACAGAGGCTGCTGAGTTCAGAAGGGCAGGGCTGGCAGCTGGGCAATATGGACAACCAGCAGACTTTGGAGAAGGACAGAAGAGGGGAGTGAGAAAACTGCCCTAAGTTAAGGCTGTGTGGTTGTATGGTTTTATGTTTTCCTGTGGTTTTTTTTTGTTTTTGTTTTTTTGTTTTTGTTTTTGTTTTGTTTGGGTTTTGTTGTTTTGGTTTTTCAAATAAATAACTACCAGCAATGCCCTGATTAGCACTGCCAAAAGATCCTTTCTATTGTCTTTGCTTAGGCAGAGCTACATTAATTTCAGCTGCTCGTCTCTAAGAAAATCCTGCAGAACTATGTACTTGGTACATGAGCAATCTTTAGACAACAAAGAAATAGTAAAATTTAGGCTGGATCAGGCCTCTGGAGTTAAAAGCTCTACCAGCCCACCACCAATTTAAAGCAGAACCAAGGGTCAAGCAAGGATTTTCTGTAATTCTCTGCTTCTGGAGGTCACTGTGGCATAAGACAAACCAGCAGCACGCACAGATGGCACCTCTCTCTTGGTGACAGCACCTAGGTAGTGCAGGTAGAGGGAGGTGACTACCTTCACCAGAAAGAGAGTGATGGGCTGGAGCTGAGACAGGAGGGATGTCTGATCCACTCTTTCACAGCAACTGGAATCAAAGATCTCCAGAAGAGCTCTGGAGAGCTGATCTGAAGAAATCCCTAGAAAAGAAGGTGACCCACCTTCTTCTATCAGTTGGCCACAAAGACCAGCAGCTCCCAAACCTTGCAGGAGCTGTGAACCCAGTGGTTCACAGCAAACCCACAGCACACCCTCTCTTCCTCAAAGAGGATATTCCGTCTTTAACATATATTTAATTTTATGTTTAACACATCTCTTGCAGATGAGCTGCTGACCACTCAGCAGCTACTGACAGACATGGGCTGCAGACCACCCTGCATGAGAAAACAATTTTTCAGTGGTCTGGCTGCACACTCTTAACTCCAGTGGAGGTCTCAGTTATATTGTCTAAATAGCTCAGCCATTTTGCTGGCCCCTGTGAGGGTACATATGGTTCCATATGCTGGGAAAGCTGTTTTTTTTTCAACTTGCTCCTAAAATGAAGTATATGAATTTATACACAAACCAATGTTTTTTAAAAAAAATAAGTTTGCAGAATCAAGCAGTTAAAAGCCAGGAACTGGCTGACAATGTCTTGGTCACACAAAAGAGAGATCTAAATAAATGTGACTTGATAGCCAAAAAGAGCTCTCTGGAAGACAGGCTAGATAAATAGAAATAAAAGAATGAGGCCATTTTGTTTGAGAACAGCTTCTTACATCATGATCATCTTTCCAGGCCATTTCATTCTCTCCTCCCCAAACTTCTGCCAAACTACAGGTAGGTTTAACACAAGAATTTCACAAAAGGTTAATCTTAGCATTCAAGAAGTAAGCAGAGTTTGAGCTTCAGAGGTGTTTTTCTTTGATCATTTTGAAGAGTTATAATGGTGTAAATTGAGTACCTTAAATTTACCACACTGGAAAGCTGCAGCACTACATCATTCTTCCTGTAATTTTTCTTCCTCTACAAATATGACATAAATCCCTGTGGTGTGTCTGCTACAGTGTTGGACTTATCAAGCTGAAATCTGATTTCAGCAGAAGGAGGAAAAAGATTTCAGAAGGAATGTGTTTAGGGTTCTGCAAACAACCCCATGTCCCACTCCAGCCCCCTCTCCTCTGTCATCAGACACTCCAAATAAGTAAAAGATACCTCTAAAGGCACTGCTGAGAACCCATCAGAGCCCAGCCTACAGGAGACACCAGCAAAAAAGGCTTTGAACAGTGGGCAACACATGGGAGGCTAAAAAAATAAACCCCCCCCCAAAAAACACAACCCCAAGCCCACCCCCCAAAATTTTAAAATGTGGTCAAAACCACAAATAATTCATATGAAATCAAAACAAGTTCAAATCCTTTTCCCTGAGAAGAACTCCTACAAGCCCTGCAGCAGCCTGTCTCCAGCAGGGTCCACAGAGGCTTATCTGCAGGTCAGAATGGGCCACTGAAGCAAACAACCTTGACATCTGGTGACACTGCTCACACAGATCCTCTTGGGGGGCTGAACAAGATTCCCAAATCCCAACCTGATAGGAAACTTGTAGAGGAAAGGAGTACAGGAGCAGCACAGGCTGCCAAAGTCTAAACATAAAAGGACCAAACTGTGAGACAGCCCCAGCTTGAGGCAGGGGTGGGAGTAGAAAGGAGAGAGTGATGAGTAAAGGAAGGCCCATCTAAAACAGGAACAAGTCTCAGTCCTACCTGTAAAGTTCTATCTTTCATCAGTAAAGGCTGTGTTTTTTTCCTCAGGAGCATTTTCACTAGACACCCAAAACTGCAGACATCAGTGCAAGCAAGATGATAGCTCTGGAGAAGGGCCAGCAGAGTTCAAAGCCCCTAGCTGGAAACCTAAGCAACACTGACAGGCATTGAGGGAAAATTTATGAGGTCCTGATTGCTAAAAGCATATGTTTGGGATCTAAAAAAGTAACAATTATGCCACCCACGCTGCTTATTCTTTTCTTGTCTGAGGAGTTTTGGGCTAACATGTTGAAATGTAAAACAACCTGAGCACATTTTAGATAAGATTTATGGCATTCCCAGACTGACATTTAGAGTCGTGGCTTGCAGTTGAGCATACTATTCAACAAG